GGTTAGGCAGGAAAGGACTGTAAAAACACTCAGAGAGAAGGAAGATTAAAAACTTGAGCCATTCAAGAGGAGCTTACAAACCAATATTCCAAAACACAGAAAGAAAACTGAATTCACTCCTGACAAAATAAATATAAGACATCTAAAAAGCATTTAAAACTAGGTCTGTTTAGAGTCTCAAAAAGATAATGGAAAGAATAACATTAATTTAAAAGAGTAAGAAAACAAGAAACAAAAACAGGCAGAGATTAAGTAAGTACAAATGGATATAAATAAGCAATGAGAAATCCTGGAAATAAAAATATATAGCGCCCTGGCCAGTTTGGCTCAGCAGTTAGAGCATTGGCCTGCAGACCAGAGAGTCCCAGGTTCGGTTCTGCTAAGGGCACATACCTCCAATGCAGTTTGTCCCCGCCCCGGTTGGGGTCCTGTGGGTGGCAACCACTCGATGTGTCTCTCTCTCTCTCTCTCTTCTCCCCTCTCTCCCTCCTGCTCTATCTGAAGATAAATGCAAAAATGTCCTCAGATGAGGATAAAAAATATATGTGTGTGTGTGTGTGTGTGTGTGTGTGTGTGTGTATAGAAATAAAACACCTGATGGACAGAAAAATTCTAGAGTAAGCACAGATGAGAGGAGGAAAGGAAGCACTGGATGATGGTTCTGATTAATTACTTAAAATACAGCATGGAGATATAATGAGACCGAAACAATTTATTAAGCAGTTGAAAGACATGGAAAATCAGAGATTAAGCAGCAGCTCAGTATATATGTAATAGAAATTAAGCAGAAAAAATGTTTAAGAAAATAAAGAAAAAGTAGTATTTGAAAAGTATAGATGCCAGATTAATTAATTAATGTACGTTCTTTTTTTTTTTTTTATCCTCACCCGAGGACATTTTTCCATTTTTTTGTTCAGATAGAGCAGGAGGGAGAGAGAGGAAGAGAGAGAGAGAGAAACATCGATGTGAAGGGACACATCGAGTGGCTGCCACCCGCACGACCAACCAGGGCCGGGGACAAACTGCAACCGAGGTACATGCCCTTAGCGGCAACCGAACCCGGGTCTCTCTGTACCGCAGGCCGACGCTCCAACCGCTGAGCCAAACCGGCCAGGGCAATGTGCGTTCTTATGTGAGGGTACAAATAGGAGTGGACAGATGTATGTCTGAGAAGGTCAGAGAACACTGAAGAATAGAGCAGATTCTGTTTCTGGTTCTGTTGGCCTCTAGGGTCAACCCCGGAGGTACTGTAAAGAGAGGACATCAAATTGAGAAGTAGCTGTGAGAGGCCACTGGGGAAAGAGAGGGGCTGTTCTGAATTGGTATGTTTGTGTGTGAACGGGGGAGGGGAGATGGTGTTGGCAGAAGCTGGCCTGTGCCATGGTAAGATAAAATAAGCCGGTAGAATTACCCCACCATTCTTTGCCTTGGTCCTGCCTGCACACCTGCTGTGACTCAGACAGCTGTACTTAGAATTACCTCTGTCCCGGGCAGAAGCCCTGAGTGAGTAGGAGATGAGAACAGTCAGTGAGGACTGACTAGACAGGCTTGAGAAGATGCCTCTTTACACTTCTTCTTCCAATCTCCCAAGGCAGATGGTTCACAATTTATGGTGCGTCTCCCCCACAAGCTGCGTCTTATAGAGGTGCAAAGGGTAAAGATATAACTTGAGGCACTGATCCTTAGAGTGAGGGATGATTAACTCTGATATTCTTGGAGGGAGAGGGAAAGGGAGAAAAGCTCTCTGCCCTAGAGTCCATTTCCTCACCTCCCACTTCAGCTGACAGAGCTGGCACAGACTCAGGTCTGGCCTTGAGTAATCCTAGACAGAGCACCCTTAACCCTAGGGGTAATTAGTCACTTGATGATCAAAACTATTTCAAAAGAAAAGTTAAAAACTGAATTACAGGTTTTATCAGAAGAACGGGTATTAGAAAACATGTATCAAAAATTTAGCCCTAGCAGACTGACATCCCTCAGAAGAGGGGGTGGGGGGGTGGGGGGGGTGGGAAGAGATCAACCACAGAACTTATATGCATGTATGCATGACCAATGGACATGGACAACTAAGCCGGGGACGGGGCGGAGGTGGGGTGGGGTGGGGGGTGCCAATGGGGTAAAAAGGTAAAATATCTGTAACAAAAAATAAATAAAAAATTCATAAAAAAAAAAAAAATTTAGCCCTGGTTGGTTTGGCTCAGCAATTGGAGCATCTGCCTGCAGACCAGAGAGTCCCAGACTAGGGGCATGTACCAAAAAAAGAAAAAAAAAGTTCAAACATTTTTGGGTGGGGGAATGGGGAGGAGGGTGTCAATGGGGAAAAAAAAGAAGAAACATCTGTAACAAAAATAAATTATTAAAAAATTTAATAAAAAAAATTTAAGTAACCTTAATATGCATACTAAAATAAGTAAGGAAAGATATAAGTAATATAAAATAGTAATAAACACAAGAAAAATAATGAAATAGAAATGTTAATTATCAAATGTAAAAACAGAATGTTGAAATAAAGAACACAGACAGGATAAATAGTGGAGTGGATACAGCTGAGAACAAATTAATAAATTGGAAGTTCAGATGAAAAAACTCTAGAAGAAGAAAAAAGAAAACAATAAAGACAGAAACTTTAAAGAAAAATTAAGAGATAGAACAATAGAAATAAAATTACTAATATCCAGATAAGAAGAACCCTAGAGAGAAAAATGAAAATAAACAGTAGGAAATATTTGAACCAGAAATAACTTTCTCAGAATTAAATAGAGATGAAAGACTTCCCACTGGAAAGTCTCACAGAGTGGAAAGGAAAACCCACACTTAAGCATATTACAGTAAAATTTAAGTTATTTCAACAAATGATATTGAAACAATTGCACATCTGTAGGCAGAAAATGTTTTCTTCAAGAACCTCAACATATACTTTATAATTTACACAAAAATTATTTCAAAATAGACCATAGCTTAACACATAAAACTTTTAGAATAAAACATAAGAGAAAATCTTCATGGCCTTGGGTTAGGCAAAGAATTCTTAGATATGACACCAAAAGCATGATCCATAAAATAAAAATTGATAAAATGGACTTCATCGAAATTTTAAACTCATGCTCTGTGAAAGATACTGTTAAAAAGAAAACACAAGCTACACACTGGAAGAAAATACATGCAGATCACATTTCTGATCACAATATATGCAGATCACATGTATTCAAAATACATGAAGAACTCTCAAAACTCAATGATAAAAATCAATAATCCAATTTGAAAATGAGCAAAATATATGAAGATATATTTTACCAAAGAGAGGTTATAATGGCACAAATAAGCACATGAAAAGATGTCCAAAATAATTAGCCATTTGAGAAACACAAAACCACGATGAGATGTCACTTCACACCTATTAGAATAAGCTAACGCAAAAATAGTGGTAATAACAAAAGTTGGTGAGAATGCAGAGAAACTGAATCTCTCATGTACTACTGGTGGGAATGTAAAATGGTACAGCCACTCTGAAAAACTAGCTATCACACACACTCTTGAACATTTATCCCAAAGACATGAAAACTTTATGTACAAAAACCTGTACACAAATGTTCACTTCAGCTTTATTCATAAATGCCCCCTAACTAGAAACACCCAAAGATCTTTCAATGGGTGAATGGTTGAATAAACTCTGATACACCTATAAAATGGGGTGCTACTCAAAAACAAAAAGTAATGAATTATTGATATATCCAACAATCTGAATGGATCTCAAGAGCATTATAATGAGTGAGAAAAAGTCCATCTCAAAAGGTTACATACTATCTGAGTCCATTTACACAGCATTCTAGAAATAACAAAACTATAAATGGAGAAAAGATCAGCGGTTGCCAGGGAATGAGGTTGTCTGGGTGTGATGGGGTAGGTTGCATGAGGGACTTCTTTTGTGGGGATAGAACAGTTCTGTATCTTTTTTTTTTTTTTTTAATCCTCATCCAGGGATACTTTTCCATTTATCTTCAGAATGAGAGGGAGGAGGAGGGGAGAGAGAGAGAAACACCGATGTGAGAGAGACACATCTATTGGTTGCCTCCCGCATGACCCCGACCTGGGCCGGGAACGAACCGCAACCAAGGTACATGCCCTTGGCCAGAATCAAAGCCGAGACTCTTTGGTCCATGGGTTGATGCTGTAACTGCTGAGCCAAACCGGCCAGGGCTGTATCTTAATTTTGGAGCTGGCTACACAAATCTATACTTAGGGTAAAATTATATAGAATACACACACACACATACACACAAATGCAGGTTAAAAAACAATACTGAATTGAACATTTGAAAACCAACGAAGGTCTGTAGTCTAGTTAGTAGTAACATACCAATGTTCATTTCCTGGTTTTGATATTCTACTTCAGCTAATGTTAAGATGTTGACATTGAAGGAAGATGGGTGAACGGTACATGAGACTCCATACTATTTCTGCAACTTCCTATAAGTCTATAATTATTTCATTATAAAATGTTTTTTTAAAATGAGTAAAGAAAAATGAACTTTTCAATACATTAAATATTGTTTTTTTCCACAGAGATTCTACATAGTAAAATTCTAGAGGGCATAAGGATTTCAACATTTAGAAGAGGGAGGAAAAAACCAAGATCTATATTATATTAGGATAATAGGAATTTATTAAATAAGAATTTTAAATGCACAAACTATAAAGGAAAACTTTGATAATTTAATCTTATTCTTATTCAAATCTCTGTATCATAAAAGACATCAAAAACAAAATTAAAAGGTAAGTAGTTTCTCTTAGAACATAAGAAGCTAACAAAGGCATGAAAACAAATTCTCCCCTAGAGCCTGCAGAAAGGAAAGCAGCCCTGCAGACACCTTGATGTTAGCCCAGTGAGACCATGTCAGACTTCAAACCTGCAGAACTAGAATACATTTTGTGTTGATTTAAGGCACTAAGTATGTGGTACATTTTTAGAGCAGCAATAGGAAACTACTACAGTAACTTACATCTGTTGATTTCCAAGCATTAAACTTGAGTGGTAGTGTTTCCTGGGGCAACACAGTTTCACTGGGCAGCTGAATGTCTTGCCACTGCTCTTGTTTCCATTCTGCCTTGGAAGTGTTATCTGTCAATGACATAAAGCTAAGATTTTACTTTGGCAAAAAATAGTAATGTTTTTACATTACCTCACAATTTTTAAGTTAATCACTTCTGAAGATCCGTTTTGTCTACAAAATACACGTAATCTACCAATGGTTACCTAGGAATAGTAATCATTTTAATATAGCACTTTATAATAATTAAATTGAGACAGATTTTTAAAACTACAACTTCAATTCTAGCCCTTCTCCCAACAATAATTTTATTTTATAGTTTTATTATTTGAAACATCTTTTTAAATATAAGGTATAATACTATATAGAAACAGAGTTTGAAAATGTGAAAATGATTCAAATGAAATTTAGCAAAGCAGGAATAACAGCTATAATTATTCTAAGTAATATATTTTTTATTAATTTATTTTTGTTACAGATATTTCTCCTTTTCCCCTCATTGACACCCTCCTCTCCATCGCCCCCCCACCCACCCCGTCCCCAGCTTTGTTGTCTATGTCTATTGGTTAAGCATACATGCATATAAGTTCTGTGGTTCTAAGCAATATTTAAAAGAAGTTCATTACTGCTGTATGAACTTCATGTGTTCTAAGCAAAACTAATCAGGAATATATAGATTATTTGATAGGAAAGAACTTTTAAACAAAAATTTAAAAAAACTTAAACATAAGAGAAGATGCCAATAAAAATAAATGGATATTTCTACTTATATATTTTTACTAAATCGAGCATTTTTGTAGTCTTAATATTTTCCTCCCTATCTTAATTACCATGCAAACAAAGTATTGGTACCAACTCTATCTCAGCATATTATTGGATATAATAAGAAAGCTATTTTTAAACTGGTGTATGCAAACCACTGTGGGTACTTGAAGACTTCCTAAGAGCTAGGTGGGCATAGATAGTTTTAAAGAAATCAATATCCAGATACACAACTTCTGTAGATATTCTTTCCAAAATCTGATCATCCTGAGAATGTAAATGTGTAGAAGCATCAGGCTAGTTCTCTCCCTCTTCACTTTGATAATTAATTTTCTTTTCCCTTTATAAAGAACAACATATCACCGTGGCCGGTTTGGCTCAGCGGTTGGAGTATTGGCCTGCGGACCAGAAGACCAGAGAGTCCCAGATTCGGTTCCCGCTAGGGGCACGTACCAAAAAAAGAAGGGAAGGGAAGGGAAGGGAAAGGGAGGGGAGGGGAGGGGAGGGGGACATATCCTTTACCTAATCTTATTATGGTACATCTTCCCTTAAGGTACAAGCATAAGAACCTCTAAGGCATCAAACAATAGTAAAAAGACTGGTATGGGGTCACCTCCTTTAATCAAGGCATGTAAAATTCAAAGTAGAGCTTCAAAGTTTGTCCTGTCTTACACATATTTCTTTTAATGGCAAGGTACTGCATAAGTAAGAGGGAATTTTGGTCCATACTGGGATGTTTATTATTCAGATATATTACAGTATGAAAAAGCAGGACAGCTGACCACTTTCATTTAATGTGGTTGTGCTTTTCACACACACACACACACCCAACTATTGTTAAAGAATGCATCATTCCTGAGAAAGATTCCCATCAGAAGAAAGCAAAAAGCATAAAAGGCAGGGGGCCCTTATTTCATCAATGCCACAACCTTATGACAAGGCTCCATGTCTTGGCTATCTACCTTAGGAAGAGAGTTCAGGAGTATGAATACAACCAGAGTGATGTTTGTTTACATGTTTATTTGAATAAATAAAGTAAGAGATTTTCTTTAATATAGATGATTTGGCCAGTTGTCCAGTTTTGCCAACTAGATAAATATGGTAAATAATTTCCAAAAATTGAATGAACCAAATCTGTAGTTCTGAAGCATTGATGAAAATATATTTAAGACATATGACACAATAAAATCATTTTCTCAAAAAATTTTCGTATTGACAGGTATATTGCAATGATTTTTTTCTAGTTCCCATACATTTTGAGTATATTGTATTAAACATAACAGGTAAAATTAATAGTCATTTGATACATTTTAGTAAAGGTTTTTTTGGTATTATTCTCAGAAACTAAGAAAGTAAATGATTCCGCCCTGGCCAGTTTGGCTCAGCGGTTAGAGCGTCGGCCTGCGGTCCAGAGAGACCCGGGTTCGGTTCCCGCTAAGGGCATGTACCTCGGTTGCAGTTTGTCCCCGGCCCTGGTCGGTCGTGTGGGTGGCAGCCACTCGATGTGTCCCTTTCACATCGATGTTTCTCTCTCTCTCTCTCTGTTCCTCTCTCTCCCTCCCACTCTACCTGAACAAAAAATAGAAAAATGTCCTCAGGTGAGGATAAAAAAAATAATAATAATAAAAAAAAAAGAAAGTAAATGATTCCTAATAACTGTTTAACTATTCAATCATTTCCTAACTAGGGTGTTTCTAATCCTTTGCTTTCAACAACATTGAAGAAAGACCTAATCTAGTTAACAGTTGACAAGAGATGAAAAACATTTTTATAAGAAATCACTATATAATTTTTGGCGTATTGTTTGGGAGGTATTCATAGAATTGACATTGCTATAATAAAATACCTTCTATTCTCACCTACAATTTTATGTGAACAAGTCTTCTCAGCATTTATATTTATAAAAAAATGTAAAACAGAAACAGAATTCATGCTGAATCTTGCTTATTTCTAGCAATAGATGATATTCATATGTAGGTAAATAAACAGTTCCATGCATCTCATAAAAACATCTATTTCCAATAAAATTGTACCCCTTATGTGTTTTTATACTTCTAAATATTTTTATTGGTTTTAGAGAGAGGAAGAAAGAGAAGAGAGAGAAACATCAATAGGCTGCTTCTTGCACACCCCCTCGTGGACATCAAGCCCAAAACCGAGGTATGTGCCCTGACTGGAAATTGAACCGGTGACTTCCTGGTTCATGGGACAACACTCAACCAACTGAGCCACACCCGCCAGGGCTCCTTTATGTTTAATAAGTATTTGTAATATATTTATGTAATTTTCATTTTGCCTGTGTACTAAAAATAATTGTAATGATAAGTCAATATAGAAGGAAAATTTTACCACTTAAAGCCTCTGGTAAGAAAATTTTAAAAAATAATTTAAATGTATATACATATTTGATGTAGAACAGACTTTCAAGTATAAAAACACTTTCTATTAGGATAAAATTCTGGGAAGAATGTGGAATAGAAATATGACTTCATGTAGAAAAGGGAGTGATGTTGAATCTCCAACAGTTAAAGAAGACTTCATGTATTTCTTCAAGTGAATGACTACAAGTATCAATCACAATAGTATTTAGATTCCTTTAGATATACTTAAAAGTCTCATGTGAGCCCGGCTGGTGTGGCTTAGTGGTTGAGCGTCATCCCCTGCACCAGGAGGTCATTGGTTCCATTCCCTGTCAGGGCACATTACCAGGTTGCAGGCTTGATTCCCAGTAGGGGTTGTGCAGGGGGCAGCTGTTTGATGTTTCTCTCTCAACAATGTTTCTGTCTCTCTCTCCCTTTCTCTTCCTCTCTCAGAAATCAATAGAAACATATTTTAAAAACAAAAATCTCATTTGATCATTTCTGTTTGTTTTGTTTTATCTTCAATGTCAATATTATGAATTATATCCTTTCCAGTTACTTATACTTATGATAATATTTCACACATCAACTTAAAAATGTGTAAGGAGGCATATCATTTTTCAAAATAATTTTAAGGGTTATGCAAGAAAAATAGCTTGAAAAGCAGTGGTATAAGACATGGATGGTCCTTGCCTTCAAAAAGTTTTAGCCTGACTAGGAAGATAAGTGTAACATACAGACTTATAGGAAACAATTAAAGGAGAATAATTACATGTCAAACTTCTTTACATTAACTAGCTTTAGGAATAGACTAAGGAATAATGCTGAGGAGGAAAAAAAAAAAAGTCAATGTATATCAGAGTAATAAGAAAGAGCCTTGAATAGAAAGTAAAATCTGAATAAGCTTTGAAGGATGGCTAGGATTCTCATAAATGTAGAGAGAGAAAATATTCCAAGCAGAGGGCCCACATGGGTAAAAGCAGCAAGTATGGTGTAAATCAAAGATACTAAAAAAAGAATAAGAACTTTGTATTTACGGTTCTCACTTTGCATTTTCTTATAACTTCACATGAAAATGAATAATTAAAATGAGCTTATTTTAGGCTTGGAGATTTTATAATTAGTACTGGTAAATAGTAGTGGTTCAAGGCTTAGATCATCTATGTACTTTCATGTGATTTAATCAGGAACTATATCACCACTGTTTGAGAATTCAACAAAATCATCCTTGAAATGATAATGATCTAGGTTTTAGACATCACGTAAGTAGATTAATAAAAATTTCAGGAAGTCATTTCTGAAGTGTGAGGAAACTGAAGACTAACAAGAATTGTGAAAGACAACATATCTTGCGCATTCGGTGATGTATTTTAGCCTAGAATAGCTAAAATGTTATATACTGCCCAGTCAGTGTGGTTCAGTGGATTGAGTGTCCTTCCATGGACTGAGAGGTCCCAGCTGGATTCCCAGTCAGGGAACATGCCTGGGTTGTGGGCTCTATCCCCAGTAGGGGACATGAAGGAGGCAGCTGATTGATGTATTTCCCTCACATCAATGTTTCTCTCTCTCTCCCTAAAAAATCAATAAAAAACATATTTAAAAAATAAAATGTTATATACATATATTAATTAATCTCATAGGGGCAAGAAGGAAGGCAGTTATAGTTTACAGAAACTCATTTAGAAATTTTTTTAATATCTGGCAGCACAATACTGAAAGTGAAATGTACTTAATTAAGTTAGATGATTACACAACATTTATTTCTGGATTTTCACAAGCAAATGGAAGGGGATAACACACATTTAGTTCCTTGGTGGAAATCCAGTCCCTTTGGTATCATAAGCTATTTATCAATTGGTTCTGTGAATGCATGTGCCAAGGAGGACTAGTATATGAATAAGAAACCTCAAATGAAGAAGTGAAGATGCACCCTTGCCAGTTTGGCTCAG